TTTCTTTTTTTGTTCTTTTTTTTTTTTTTTTTGTTTTCATTCTTTTCCACGAGATTCGATCCTCGTGCATCGTCATCCGTTTCATCCGGTTATTCTCTCTCTCTTTCTCTCTTTCCCTGCTTTTTTTTCTTTTCTTGTTCACAGATCCATCGACGTCGAACAACGTCGCCGCGTGTCTGGTTTCATATCGATCGATCTTGGAGAGGGCGCGATAAACGATCAACGACGTGTTTTATTGCGTTCACGCTACTCGTACGTGTGCGCCAAGGTATCGGGGATTTCCTCGGAAACGCTCGAGAGGATGGAGCTCGAGATTTGTCGAGGTTTGTCGAGGTTTGTTGGGGCGTAACGTTGGGGAGGAGGTTGGGAATAGTTTGAGGCGAATACATACTTTCGTGCTGTTTAGTGCTGTTTAGTTTAGGGATTTTTTGCGCCTGATGATTTCGAATTATTGTTTCCTGTATGGGGGAGGGGGGGAAGGGAATATCGAGTTCGAAATGCTTGATCGTTTTATATAAAATATTAAAAATATTATTGGAAATAATAGTACCAGTGAATAGAATAGAATAGAATAGAATAGAATTAAAATAATTGTTCTTTATAGATATTAATTTTTAAACGTAGGAAATAATGTTTCTAATGATGACAGATATTGTTAGAATAATAATAAATGCTACGCGTATTTGATCAATTTATTTGAATGCGTTTAATTTAAATAATAATTTAAAATCATTTCCGTGATAAAGTTTATCTTTATTTCTGATCTATGATGCATTCAATGGACAGTGTTTCCGGAAAACACGGGAGCTTCTTGCGAAAATATTCTAAAAATTATTCAAGAAGATGCGATCCTGCTTCCCGACTTCTAAGAAGATTCCTTTTCGAATCCGTTTCCTATCCGAATAATAACATTACCTCGGCTGCAATCCTTTCCATCTTGAACTATCGCTCACATCCGCTTACCTTTCCACAATCCCACAAATCAGAATAAATCGTAAAACGTTTTATCGTGACAATAAATTAAAAAAATCCCCCAAGACAATTTCCATTTCTCGATAGCCTCTGTGGAATGCCGATATTAAAATAAAATTGCGCAAAACTCGAGAGGAGGTAGTAAAATATCTTATCCATTTTATTATCGTTATCCCTTGATAATGATTCGCATGATTTCCGGAAATTGATACGTGAACATAAATTACAGGCCAGAGATTCGATGTTTCGAGAAAACAAAAGAATAGAGAAACGTGGAATATTTATTTATTTCTGACGTTGTACACTTTTCTTCATAAGTGAATACTTCTTTTTTGAAATATAAATTATTACAACACGGTGTTTGAATCGAGTATTTAATTTAATTTTCAATTCCTTGATAAAATAATAAAAATACTGAAAATCAGAGAAGTATTCATAGGAATTTTTTAAAAATTAATAAACACCAGTTGTGAATTAAAAATTAATAATCAAAATGAATAATATCAAGATTAGCAGAGGTAATTATAAGAGCATGCAATATGAATATATTAATGAAAAAGGAAATTTAATTATTCCTTATTATTAATGATTTTTATAGCGCTTTAATATTATGAATATGAAATTCATATTCATAATATTATTCACATTAAAGTGAATGATAAAAGACACAATATTTTATATTTAATACACTGTAAAATATTCTTTTCTAATCGAATGTAACGAAATTCAATTTCGATAATTTCATAACTCATTTTTAGATGGTTTATAATTAAAAATATGTCCACGCGTTTATGAAGAACAGTGTACATTTGTCGATTGACGCACGGTTGACTGAGCGCGAATACTAATCGAATCTCTGATTTCCCGGTTTATCACCATTGTTTCGAGCCTCGTTTCGAGGCATAAACACGCGGCGAGAATTCATCGATTCTCGCATTGGATCGCGTCTGAATACCGGTGGCGTTTTATATCCGTGAACTTTGTACGACAGTTAACAAACTGTCGCGTTTTTGGCAGTCGAAAGAATCGAGTTTATTTCGCGATATAAATCATTTTTATAACTGGAAGAACAAAGGATTTATTATAGGGATATTTCTGGTGCCATTGAAGATGCGACGAAATGAAAATTTTCTTCTTTGACCGAAAGCATTGTTTAATCTCCTTTTCTTTTTAAATGCGCGATATCGTTTTTGAAAATCGTTTCGAATCGTTTTATTCCCTTGTTTAATTTCAAAAAATAGAATCAGAGGAAAGAAGGTGACAGGCTAAATCTGAATAACTAGATAAAGTTCAAGATATAATTAATTATGAATCTTTTTGCGATAATTAAAAATTTTCAATCTCTAAAAAAATGGATCAGTTATTCAAACTATATATTATAACATCAGAAAGAATGGATAATACAAGAGACATCCCACACTCGATAATTAAATCGACAATTAAAATAAATTTTCATATTTATAAATTCACTCGCAACACCTTTCTCTTTCCTCTTTTTCAATATTTAAAACGCTCTTTTAAATATCACCGCGCAATAATTACCATTCCACGAAAAACCTGACCCCCTCCCCATCCCGAATCAAACAGGGAAAATTCAAAATACCTCGCACAACGCCGAGCAATAATTTAATAAACACGAGAAACTTTCTCGTTTTCCTCGAGCGTCGAAATTAATTAAACATAAAAAGCAACACTGTTTCTCTCCCGTTCAAATATCAAACATCTTTCAAATTACATCGGTTTGCCCGTATATATATATATATTTTCCCACTCTATTTATCCATAAAACGAATCGAGTCAATCGAATAGCGAATATCGATCAGAACATCGGCGAAACATTAAACCGTGATAAATTATAAATTATAAGCGGCAATCGACGGATAATCAGGTGGACGGGTTCAACTCGATCACGTCTCGTGGCGAGCACTCCGGCGCCGAGGCCGATTATTCGACAATCGCGGGGCATTTCAAGCCGATTGGCGAACACAACAAGCACGATAAATTGACGTCACGGTGGATCGAGGATCGGCGACAAGGGTTTCGTCGAAATCATCCGAGCAGGTGGTGCATGCACCATGCCCCCTCCCATGGATTTAACCATCATTTTCACGCGCCATTGAACCTCGTCGAATCATCGAGACTGCTATGTAAATATCGCAGGATGGAAATTGGGTTTCGATATTTTTGAGACGATTCGGAGAACGTCTTACATTTCGAATCTTTTGAACGTTGAAATCTGTATCGATTGTTCGTACGGAATTTTAGAAGTTTGAAGTTTAAAAAATTAAATCGATGAAGGAAAAATGATGATTCGAGAATGTATCATTGGACGAATTCAATAAATTGTTTAATAAATCGAATTTCAGAGATTGGATTAAAGGAATAAATTTATGCAGATTCTTCACTTTTATCGAGAGAAGAAAAGATGCTTGCACAAAGATCACAATCTCCTCTAGTATTTTAAACTTTACGAATAAATCAAATCACATTCGTCAAATATTTTCATTGAACTGCAACATAGCAACAATTTTGATTTTTATAAATTAAAAACTTGAAACGAATTCATAACTTTCCTCAACGATTATGAAACAAAAGAACGACGAAAAAGAAAGAGAGAGAGAGAGAGAGAGAGAGAAGAATCGTAGAGTATTTCGATAATTTAAACAATTGCACGAATCCATATCGAAGAGCGTTATGAAACCGCTTACTCCCCCCTCGAACAAGCAAGCGCAGGAAGTTGAAATCGTTGGGCGGAAGTCGTGCCCTGCATACGTGCACTGCGCAGGATACGCGTCCCTCATCAATAATTTGCTCGCGTTTCCATCCATCGATGTGCGAAGAAATCACGCTTCAAAAATAATTCGCGAGCCTGTCAACGGGGAAACGACAGCGACATCGGTGGAAAGAAGTTTATAACGGAAGTTTCAGTCGATTCATCAAAATCAACCGATCCGGAAGCGAGGATAAAGCAAAAAATTTTAGGGGGAGGAAAAAAGTGAGAAATGAGAAATCGAAGTGGAGCACCATCCCTTTGAAATCGACTCGAAATCGAAACGCAGCGACCTGTCTGACATGCTGAATTATTAAATGATCGAAGAGAGTTGAAAAATAATCGTGAAAAATTTCGCCCGTTTCTCATCAATGTTTGAAGACGAGAGTGGGATTAAAAAAATTTTCCCAAAAAACTGGAAGAATATTTTAAAAGATTTCGATCATCAAATGTTTGAAATGATTTTATTATGCGAATAAGAAACTTAAAGTAAAAGTACGCTTCGAATATTAGAAAAATTTTGAACAGATTTTTGTGGACAGATTTATTTTTATAGATTATAGTGTTTTATGTTATCAAACGAAATATTTTTTTATCGAAGAGCATCGTGTCCACTCGATTTCACGAGTTTGTTGAAGCATTGAATATTTAATACAATTTGATTTCGTATTTTTTCAACACAAAGCTTTGAACTTTGAATTTTTACACGTTAATGTAATATAACAAGAGTTTTTCTATGTAAATTTATAACGTGATAATTCTTTCACCGAATTCCATGAAAAACGGACGAAGAAAGAAGAAAAAGTTAATTTCCAGTTTAATTAGCTTGTGCATATTATACATATATATATATATATATATATGTTAAAACGAAGAGAAATTCTCGCACTTTCGATTCTTTTTTACATTGCCCTCTTTATTCAAAGTAAATTGCACGATCCACGGAGATAAATAAAAAAAATAAAAGGAAAGAAAAAAAGATAAAGTCAGCCGTATTGGAAATAGAACGAGAAGAAAAGTTTCCCTCTTTCAACTTCTTTCCCTTAGGTATCGAGTTGTTAATTAATAATAGTCGAGTTTCAGTGATTCAAAGTCGACGTGATAACTGGAACAGCTTCGAACTAATTTCATTCTTGTGAAAGAATGTCTATCGACTTTTATTTCTCGTCATTTTTTTTTCTTTTTTTTTTTTTTATTGGAACAGCTAATCGATATTTCTCTGAATTGTACCCAATAATATTCACGAATCGTGATATATTATCATTTGTTGAAAATAAATATCTCAGTAAGTTTCACAAGATGAAAAAAAAAGTCGTACAGCAAATTTTTGATCGTTGTAAAGGGAAGACTTCAATCTTCGAGTCTGGATTGGATCACGAAGAAAATTTTCCACTGTTCCTCGATTAAATTTTTCAAATTTTCGAAAAAGGAATTATTTCCATTATTTGAAAATCAGCTTCGCGTGAAAGTAGCCTTTTTACGAAGTTATAACAATTTAAAATATTTTTACAATTTTTTCCTCGAATATTGGATCATTGCACCTCGAAGTACAAATGTATTTGCTTAATTTTTTTGGATTACTCTTTCTACTCCATAGGTATAAAAAATTAATTCGAATTTAAGATTCGAGAGATGGCAGTAGTGATAATCTTTATAACGCGCGTGAACGCGAATAAATTAAGAAAGCTCGATTTTTCACGCCAATTTCCCACGGTTAACACTTTGGATATCCCAAATATTTACCAAGAATAAATCAACTTTTTAAACAAACAACGAGAAAGTTCTCTGATCAACTTTGATTCCGACTTCCGGTTCCCACAGTTTGAAGAATTAGCGCGTCTTCGCATTTCCTATCCGTTCACTTGATCCAAATAAACATTTGCAACTTTGAATTTAATTTTTCGACGAATCATTGTTTTCGCAAGGATGAAAATTGCAATTTTTGACGATGGATGTGCCCGAGGAATTATGTATAAAGAAACTCTCAAAAAGATGAGATTGAACGTTGGCATATTGGGTTCGTAATTTGAGGAAATAGAAATTCAATAATTGTGTAGGTGTACTTGTTCTTTGATCCGAGATTATCAAAGAGAGATATTCTAAGATATTGAATGCGGTTTGAAATTTTGAGGGAAGGTTTCGTTGTAATTCTATTATTTTACTTTCTTTGATTTGGATTTGAATTTGGATTCGCAAGAGAATTATTTAATATTGTTTTTCTTTGGTTAAATTTTCATCTTCGATACTAATTTTTTTATTAGTTTGAATGAGATTCAGATAATCTGCTCGAAATTTCATTGATAGAATCATTATGCATTCGAGCAGCAAAATAATTACAATAATAAAATAAAAAATAGAATTTTTAAATTTTCGGAAAGAGATCAATTTTCTAAACGAGTCCTCTCTTATCGAGAATTATTTTAAAATTCGAATAGAAAAGATGATTCCTTGTTTAAAATAAAAAAAATATTATATTTTATATTGTATCACTCACTACCGATTACATAATGTTGAAATATACCAATCATCGATATTTCCTCACAGTTTCGAATCATCGAGAGAATTGGAATATCGATAGCAGAGACGAGAATTAGTTACAATAACCATCGAAGTATATAATTTCTACAATACCTTGCAAATTCAATATCCACCTCTCTCTGGCTGGAGCTCAACCAGCCCGTCTCATCGAACCAATTAGAAGTCAGAAACTTCGACAAATGAAACTCTCGTTGAAGATAATTATCGATTTCCGGTTTAATTCCCAAAGAAGAAACCTCTCTAGATAATTTTAATTTAATGCTCGACTCTCTAGAGTCACAAAGAAAAAGAAGAAAAAGAGGAAGAAGAAGATGGAAAAAAGGTAAAAATCCTTGGAATTCTCACTTCGTGATTTGAAATTCGAGGCAAGGAGGAAAAGAGTGTGGGTTGATGCAAAAATTACGGAAATTCGTGTACCGTTTGATCCGAGGCCGTTGAAATATTCAAGCGAATCCGAAAAGGACAAGGTTCGCAAATTCTCCTTTTTGCGGACGACTGGAACGAGGAGATATCAGAGGCAATTCGCTGTTTCGTTTTTGCGACAGTGGGAATATTTCATCCCTGTGTTTCTTGTGGGTCAGACGTTGACCTTTGATGAATAATGATGTACTATCACGATTTCATATCTTGGACGTTGTCTTTTGGTATTATAAGAATATCCATTGTTTTGATTCAGGATGTTTTGATATGGAAATTGTTATTCAGATTAGGTAAATTGAATGTGGGTTTTAAGAAAAAACTTCTATGGATTTTTAATATCGTGGAAGTGTGTAATAATTCTAAAATTTAGGAAATCATGAAATGGAATTGGAAATTTTTGGATCGTTCATTTTCAATTTTATCATATTTATCATTGTGCAAATTTGGGAATATCAATGAGAAAGAAAAAAATTGATTGAGTGTGATAAAATTTCTTGAATAATTTATCTTTAAGAATTGACTTTAAATTAAATATCAAAAACATATCAAATTCATTAATATTAGCATAATATTTCACTTCTTGAACATGAAAAGATCCATCATAAAGAAAAAAGCTTCAACTACACTTTCCATTTAATCATTAAGTCACAACTAAAATAAGTCTTTTTACGACGACCAAGATAATATAAAAGAGATAAACGAAAGCTATTACCTTACTATCCTTTAATCATCTCAAACTTTTTTCCTAAACACCTCTATCTGTAGATCCAGTAATCAAAAAATACAGGCACGAGCATAACATCCAATTGAAATTCAAAAAAATAAAACATCAAAATCCCCAGAAAACAAATTCAAAAAAAAAAGAAAAATAGAAAAATAAAAAAACAGAAAAACAAAATTTAAAAAAAACAAAAAATCAAAATCCTTCT